TTACTTATTAATCGAGTCAAAGTCGATAATTAATTTCTGAACCGTTTATTTTATAAACGGACATTATTAATTGGGATTAATTATTAATTAAGCATGTTCGGAATTAAGTTCGAAGTCGAAGCCAAATAAAGTCTCGAGCGCACGCAAGGTGCCTAATGCACGCACGCTGTGTGCACAGTCGCGCACGCGAATGCATGCAGCACGCATATCGCCGCGCACAGCATACGCAGCGCACGCCATTAGGCGCTAAGCGCATGCTTACAAATCCCTAAGCATAATGATCAACTAAAGCAAGTTCAAATCCACACCCTTAGGATTTCCGTGTGGAATATTCAAAGGGGATGACGTTGCATGCAAGTGGTGACTATGAGTCACCTACTTGCTTACACACATGGCGGCACACGGACGCACGGGCGATGACTAAGCCCGTGCATGCGCGCCACATCGGCCGTGACAAAGCCAAAAGTGCCCAACACTTCAGCCACGTTTGGGACACATGGCAACCAAGAAAAGAAGATCATCTTTCACCTCTTGACCCAAAGTTTGGTCCAAGCTTACCCCCATTCGGTTTTACTATTTAACCCCAAGTAAAGCCATGAATTTTCTCGTGCATTTTCATGTATTTTCAGCCAATTTCAGCGTACCAAAATAGAGAGAAAATAGTAAGGAAATATTGTATAAAAATAGTGCAAAAATAGTTGAGCATTGCCGAAGCAAGGGAGAAGCATAAGGACACCAAACCGAGCATCGAACACGCACGTAACCATCGTGCATTCCACGTCCAAACTGAAGGGTACATTCTTGTTTACCCTCTCTTTACATAGTTCAGTTCATTATAAGAGGATCATGTCAAAATCTCGTTGTTCGGTTCAAGTTCTTTAGCAAAATGACCTCGGAGATGCCATATAAGCTCCCTCCGAGTAACTTCTATTTTTAACCGGCAAGTCCCGAACACTTTATGCATATTTATGTTATTTAAGTCAAAACATGTCCAGTCATAAGGGGATCGCCGGAAAAAGTAGTCGGACGGCCGGCGAAACACCGACCGTGATGCCTACCGCACGCGGAGTGCGCGCAGGCACGCCCAGCAGCCTAGCGAGTGCACAGGCAGCGCCCGCGCGCCCAGTAACGCGCACGCGTGCCTAGTACTCGACAGCCAAGCGTCGCGATGCTGCAGTCATGTGCGTAGACGTGCGCAGTGCACGCACACGCGCACGGCAACGCGCTACAGCATCCGTCCATCCAGTCCGCGTACACAGCAACTGTAATATCCCAACTTTTATCAGTATAATAATATTTCAGTTCCGATATTATTTTTTCGGAGTTAAGTATTTTCAGTTATTTCAGTCCAAAATTACCGGAACTATTTTTGACGTACCGTTTACGTTCGAAATAATTTTGGTAATTTAGCATTATGTTTAATTAGATAATTAAACATAATTAAGTGATTAATTTAATTTAATCACGAGATTAGTAATAGTTCGGATTTTATTCCGAGTTCATGTTCGATGCCGTGCGTGTGCATGTTCGGTTCGAGGTCATGTGTGCGCGAGTACCGTGCGAAATGTCTCGGTCCATCGGTTCGTGCGCGTGCGCGTCCGCGTGTTCGTCCGGGAGAAGATCATACGCGCGAAGGTTGCCATCCGAGTCCATGCGTCGCGCGTGC